ACACAAGGGGGAACCGATTTCTATATATATATATATACACACACAAACGCTCTCCCCATACACACGGAGTAAAACAGGCAGAAAAAGAGAGAGAGAGAGAGACAGAGAACAAAACAAAAGGCCGAGAGAGAGAGAGAGACAGGAGGCACCAGATAACTTACTATCGTTTAAAAAGAATTATCCCAGTGAGACCCGACCTAGGAGTTGGAGCCCCTTATCAAAGCAGCATTCGTAGTAACAGAAAAGTTAAGCTGAAGCTAAGATAAAGCGAAGCTAAAGATAAGCTAAAGCTAAGCTAAATCTAAGTTTAAGTCAAGCTACAGCTAAGCTGAAGCTAAGCTAGAGCTAAGATAAAGCTAAGCTAAAGCTAAGCGAAAGCTAAGCTGAAACTAGGCTAACGCTGGATCTATAGTTAGGCTAAAGCTAAGCTAGAGCTAAACTGAAGCTAAGCTAAAGCTAAGCTGAAGCGAATATGAAGCTAAGCTAAAGCTAAGCTGAAGGTAAGCTAGAGCTAAGTTAAAGCTAAGCTGACGCTAAGCCAGAGCTAAGCTGAAGCTAAGCTGAAGTTAAGCTGAAGCTAAGCTAAAGCTAAGCTAAAGCTAAGCAAAAGCTAAGCTAAAGCTAAGCTAAAGCTAAGATGAAGCTAAGCTCGAGCTAAGCTAGAGCTAAGCTAAAGCTAAGCGAACGCTAAGCTGAAGCTAAGCTAGCGCTAAGCTAGAGCTAAGCTAAAGCTAAGCTAGAGCTAAGCTAGAGCTAAGCTCAAGCTAAGCTAGAGCTAAGCTGAAGCTAAGCTGAAGCTAAGCTAGAGCTAAGCTAGAGCTAAGCTGAAGCTAAGCTGAAGCTAAGCTGAAACTAAGCTAAAGCTAAGCTAAAGCTAAGCTGAAGCTAAGCTAAAGCTAAGCTGAAGCTAAGCTAAAGCCAAGCTAAAGCTAAGCTAAAGCAAAGCTAAAGCCAAGCTGAAGCTAAGCTGAAGCTAAGCTGAAGCTAAGCTAAGCTGGGTGAACCCAGGGGGCGCGACTGGGGGAACCGCGGGGCGGGGACTGGGGGAACCGCCCGGGGCGTGTAGCACTGCCTGGCCCCTTTAAGCTAGAGAGTAAGAACCCTTCTAGGCAGAGCCTAGGTAGGGAATAAAGATAAGCACCATGTGAAAAAAGAAGAGTGGAGCGGAAACGAAGAAGGGGTACCCTCATATCTTTCCCTTCGGGCGAGATAATCCGGGGGCCGTTTTGCGCGTGCTCCCGTACATATATTCAGGTTTATACACGCATATAGATTTGTAAGGTCGCTTCGCTTCGCTTCAACGATGGCGATACATCTTTGGCGGTATCAAAAGGCTGTCGCGGGAGTAGGCCGGCATGCCACACGAGGGTGCCAACACGACGAAAGCGAGCCGACCCAGCGAGGACCCAGGGGGATCTGGTTGCAGAGCAGGTCCCAAATGCGACGTACGCGGGAGATTTGATTCCCCCCCGAAAGACCTTGTACTATCTGCGCAGGCCTGAATGCACCCACTGGGTGGCGCTAGTGCCCTTTCCGCCTCCCGAAAAACATCATGGCACTTGCCACTTGCGCTCGCCCAAGTGGGCGTGAGGCAGGAAAGAGAACGCAACGCTGCCACGCTGCTGCGTCGGCGCGCGGCGTGCAGCTGGATGCCTTTCATGTACGCGGGGGATGGGGTAGCCGCGCGTGGAACGGGACGGGTGTCAGTTCGGAAGCTCGCGGGGAGGCAGGTGAGCCGGCACCCTCAGGAAGGAACCGGCGCTGGGCGGGCGCTGTGCCAGAGAACGTGCTGCGGGGCACCGCGGGCGGAGAAGGGCAGCAGAACCGAGGTCGGAGTCGCGGCATCGCCGAGCAGAATATGAAAAGGAACGAGTGTGGGGATACGGGAAAGGTCCAGGAGGGGACGAGAAGAGCGAACAGGTAAGGGAAGAAAAATGAGGGTAAGGGCGGGCATGTCCTGCCGGCGCGGACTGGGCGTGACCAACCAAGGGCGTTCGGAAAGTGACGGGCCATGGCGAAAGGCCCCGCTGGTGCGTCTATTCAATCTCGAGCTTCCACATGGTCCGCGCAAAGGCTTCGCTTCAACGAGGGCTTCCACTCAGAGACTGGCAGGAGGAGAAGACGGGGAGGACCAGGATGGCGAGGGTTGAGGACAAGCAAATGCCTCACGGCGCGTCGTCTGTCGACGTGGCAGTCGAGGAGGTCCCGTCCCTCCGGCCCATCCTCAACCATGCCAGGGGCTGTCCAAATGTGGAGACTTCTCCATGATCTCCAAAGCCCTGGTGAGACCCGCAAAAACCTCTGGAGACCTCTGGAATCCAAGAGATGGGTAAAAGACTCCAAGAGCCTCAACGCTAACCCTCCTCCTCCTCCTCCTCCTCCTCCTCCTCCTGCCCATCACTCTTCCTGCCGTCGCTATCGCTGGCGCCAGGGTGCGGCCGGTCGACGGAGCCAGAACAGCAGGACCAGGGTGACACAGCGTTAGATGACGACTTTCTGGAGTATCTGGGGTCCTCTCGTGGGACTCTTGGGGCATCTTGGGGGTCTGAGGGGGGCCTCATGGGGTCTCGGGGACCATCTTTCGAGAGAAGCCTCCAAAGGCTATTTCGTTGTCCCCCTCTCAGGCTTCTCCAGGGGCCCTGAGGCTGTTAGGCCGTATTGTGGCCCTCTGATCGGGGCCTTGTTGCAGGATTTCGTTCCGTCTTGGACACGCTGAAATCCTTGGAAAAAAACATGCCGAGCATGCAATCTTGCTTCTTGGCGCCCTCTGGGGGGCATTGTCGGACGTCGTCGGGGCTTCAGGAGTAGCATTGAAATAACATTGAGCCGTCGTGGCCTGGCCTGGGGAGCGTTTCGAGCCGTCTGGGAGCCTTACCAGCGCCATCCAGACTCATTGTGGGTGATGTGTTTGGGCCGTCTCGAAAGCCCAGAGCGGCAGAGCAAGAGAAACCTTGCCCTGGGGACACCCAGCTGGGAGGGGCGCGATGCATGTTGCGTAGGATGGGAAGCGTGCCAACTTATGTACCATTGCCCTTGATACCCCATCATCGCTCTCTCTTTCTCTCTCTCTCTCTCTTTCTCTCTTTTTTGTTTTCGCTCTCTCTCTCTCTCTTTCTATATTCCCCCACTCTTTGTGTGTCCCTCTCTCTCTCATCCCATCTCCCTCTCTCTCTCAAGCTCGCTCTGTCCTTCGCTATATATGTTTCCAGCTCGCGTTCTACATATGTGTATGAATACATGTAGATAGTAATATCCCTCTCCGTCGTTCCTCCGGTATAAATAGATATACACAGACGCATAGATGCATAACTTGACGATGCGCGTGTCTATATATATATATATATTTATGTGTGTATGCATACATATATTTATGTGTGTATATGTATATATATATATATGTATGTGTGTGCACGCGCACCTGTATTCGTAGATGAACGTAGTGAAATACATGTGTAAACATCAACCAAAGCATGTGCATCGGGGTATGTCCACCTCCCTCTCTCTCTCTCCCTCCCGCTTGCTAGACGTGTACCTACGTACACAAAGGAACACGATCTCACCAGTAATTGTGGTGTTGTCCCTTCACTCTTCTCGTCACCTATCCATCGCTCTCTCTCTCTCTCTCTCTTTCTCTATCCTTCTCTCTCGTTATATGTAGTACATATACACATAATACATATGTGTTGAGCTAGCGTGGACCCCAGAGAGTGTGTCTAGCAATGCATGTGGTGATATTCGCGTTTCGCAATCTCTGTGGTGCATTGTGTGTGCACACTCTATATGGTACAATAGATGTGTTCCAACTTGTGGTGTGCAATAGATGGTGAAGCATACGCGATACTCCATATCTGTGGTGAAATTTGAAGTTTGCGATGTAGTGGGTGTGTGTATGTGTGTGCGTGCCGTATGTGTGATGCACCACCCTATAGTGCGTGGTGCATTATACACTGAGCAATACGTGTAGTGTCATATATGGTAAACAACCTCTGATATGCAGTCTGTGTGGTGCGATTGGTGCGGCGCAATCTATATGGTGCAACACATGTTGTGCAATACGTCTATATATACTATAGTTTGAAGCATGTATCTTCACTTATTATACATTATATATATGTGGTGCGATCTGCGTTATGTGAAGTGCGATCTGTGTTGTGAAAGCTCTGTGGCGCCATACATGTGGTACAACCTATGTTGTACAATGTTTGTTCAACCCATGCCGTGCAATGTAGGTGGTGCAAACTACGCATGCTGTGCAATCTATGCGGTGCCAACTATGGTGTACAGTCCACGTGGAGCAACCTATGTGGCGGCGGCGGGGCGGCGACGACAGCAACAAGGCCGCCAGACCGACGGACGGGCCCAGACGACGGGCGGCGACGGGGTGGCGACGGGGCGGCAACGGTGGCAACATCGCCGCCGGACCGACAGACGGGCCCAGACGACGGGCGGCGACGGGGCGGCGACGGTGACCGCACAGCCACCGGACCGAAAGCTCGGCCCAGAGGACGGGCGGCGAGGGCTGAAGACGGGGCGGCAACGGTGGCCGCATGGCCGCCAGGCCGAAGGCACGGCCCCGATCCCTAGAACAGAATAAGGAACCCCTAGTGCAAGCATTGCTTGGGGAATGTGCATATGTGTAAAAATACATACACACACATCTTTGTGGGCCCCGGAAACGGCAGGGCCGTTTGTTCACCGTTTCCAAAAAAATGTCCCTTGAAAATGGAAACGGCAAAAAAACGGCGACTCGAAATGGCAAAAAAACGGCTCCAGGATCGGAACCGGAGCCGGAACCGGTCCAAAAACGGCGACGGAACCGGTAAAAAAACAGCGTCGGAACCGGCCAAAAAACGGCAGAACGGAACCAGTAAAAAAACGGCCCTGTCGTTTCCAGGGCCCACTAAGACACACATGTCTCCCTCTCTCGCTCGCGCGCTCTCTCTCTCTCTCTCTTTCTCTCTCTTTGTCTCTTTCGCTTTACCTCTCTCCCTGCGGCGCGCCTGCGTGATCAGCACGGGCGCCTCCATGGTCACCTCTACGCCTGGGCCCGGCAAGAAGATAGAATCCATCAACTGAGTGCCGCCGCGAACCCCCTGGTGCTTCCGAATGGATGGGGCTAGAGACGCTGGACATGACATACTATCCGAGAATCCCACCAGCCCTCTGAGCGTAGGTGGTCCAGGGAGCTTCCTCTTTCAACCCCCATTTCCCTTCGAGGAGGGGTTCCTCCTCTCCCATACCCCCTCCCCCTCCCCTGGACGGGGGCGGTCGCGAGGTGTCAGAGGGTACGGTTTCGCCCGAGACAGCTCCAAGAGGGCCTCAGAGAGCCCAAGAAGACCTTCAAGATGGCTCAAGATAGCCCAAGATGCCTCAAGATGGCTCCCAAGATGGGCTCCCGAGGGGGGGCCCTAATTAAGGAACCCCCCCTTCTTTGATCGATCTCCTCAAAGATGGCCCCAACAGCGCCCCAGGGCTCCCAAGAGCGCCTAAGGAAGGCCCCAAGAGGCGCCCACACGGCCCCAAGAGGCGCCCAAGACGCATCCGAGAGGCTCCCAAGAGGCCCTTGAAAAGCCTCAAGAGGATCCCGGAGGCACCCGAGACGCTCAAAGACGCCCTGGGGCCAGCCAAGAGAGCCCCCCGACGCCCCAAGAAGCCTCCCAGAAGTTGCCAAGAGACAACCGAAGAGACTCCGAGAGTCATCGCACTCAAGAGGCTTCTGGCTCTTCTGCTCGCTCCTTTCCTCGTCCTCCTTCTCCTCCCTCATCCTCGTTCGCCTATCCTCCTCCTCCTCCTCCTCCTCCTCCTCCTCCTCCTCCTCCTCCTCCTCCTCCCTCTTCCTCCTCCCTCCTCCCTCCTCCCTCTCCCCCTTCCCCACCTCCTCCTCCGCCTCGTCCTTCTGCACGTTCTCATCCTCCTTCCTCCTCATGCTGCGTGTCGGTGTTGGATGGGCTGGTCGACATATGCGAAGCATCAAAACTATTGAGCGTGGAGTGATAGGGGAGCACCAGCGATACTCTCGGTTCTTGATTTGATTCAATAAGCTTCAAGTTGCTCTTAATTGGTTACATACCAAACAGAAAACAACGTAACCACCTGCATATGTCGCTCCCAAGCCCCCACGTCATGCCAAGCCTGGCCAGTCGGTCAGCTTGCCTGCGCACCGTTCCCCTTTCTGCCTGCACCCCTTTTGGTTGTCAGAGCCTCGTAGACCCGGACACGCTAGACCAGGACATCCAACACCCCTCGAAACATTTTTTTCCAGACAGCAGCACGAAACAATTCTGCACCACAACACTTCCGAAATAGACCTGGACACAGGCCCTCAAAGCATGACAAACACATCCTAGACCAGGACCAAGACCCGAATCCTGCAGAGCAGCAACAAAAACCTGCACTGGACGATCAAATCTGATTTTGCAGGACAATGGTGTCGTTTCCCCGACTTGTCAATGTCATGGTTAGTCTGTGTCCTGGTCTCCGGGAACCTCAGGTTGGGCACTGGCACTGGTGCCGAACACATGTGCGATGGCTTGTGCCAGATTGCTGGAGACAGTTGAAGTGTGGGCAGTGCCATTGATGGTTGGTGGAAAGGCAGCGTGACACCAGCCAGATGACTCAACTTCAGGCGAACCTCACCAAGGAGCGACTGCGAATCGCGTCGAACAATGTGCCAGGTAACTACACAGTGCAATGTGTGATGCAATTGCTTACGTGTGGCAGGTGCACATGTTTTGCAAATATGGCATATACGGGTATTGTTTAATGTGCAATGTACACGCTACATGCCATTGCGAAATTGACGTACGTCCTCTGGTACACGCCCGCTATACATAATACGTGTTAGTACTGTCAGAAGTTGACGCATGAAGCCTTCATACTTGTATAATATAGGCAATACTGATGTCACGTACAGCTGCATGTGACTCGAACCTCACTTCATGTATGCTCTCAAATTGATGCAAATTACTAACGTGATTGCTGGATGCCTGTTCTGGGTGTCTCTTAGTCACCTCCTTGCTTGCTGTCATCGGATTCGCCATTACGCACCGCGTCCTAGGCCGACCCACCCTGTCCGAGCGTCATCGCTGCGACAACAAAACAAGTTTGTTTGCTGCCTCCGACAGACGTCTATGATTGGTGTGTATGCGTGTCTGAATGTATGGTGGTGGTGTCGTACATTGGTGTATATAGTTGGTGTCTTAATGTTGTTCGGGTGTGCTGTATGCTGCGTATGTGGGGCACTGGCGCAGCTGGTTTCTGACTGTTATGTGTATATTAGCACTGTTCGCCATTGATGTCTGTACTACTCACTGTGCATGTTCGTGGTGTATGATACTGTTGCCTGTTTGGTGTGCAGGTTCTTGGCTGCACTTTATAGATGTGTGTATGAGTGTGTGACAGCTGTATGCTATGGGTTTCTGTTGTTCTTGGTGTCTGTCGTTGGTATCGGTGTTTGGCATACGTTCTGGATGACAATGGGCGACGTGACGCCGTGATGCCTGCTATGTTGTTCTTGATGTCTGTCCTCGAAATCTTACTTCGGAGTTCTGGGGCATGATGGGATATGTAGAGTTGATGGGAGGGATACTCGACACACTCGGGATTCCTGGGGCATAGCAGCCTTGGTGTGCAGGGCTGGCGGGCGAGGCACTCAAGATACTCGCGAGTCCTGGGGTCTGGCGGACGCGATATACAGGGCTGGCATTTTCTTTAAATCTGGCAAACACAACCTGTCGGGTGGGGCAAAAGAGCATCTGCAATTTCTGCTGGAAGTTCACTGCTGGCAACGAAGAACAGACTGGAGCCGATAGGAAACGAGGAAATATCCATCACCACCACCACGTCCACACCCAAACAGCTGACGCCGTGTTTTGTTCACAGCCCCAAAAAAAAGGTCCGGCCCCCTTCACGGGTACCAGCTTTGCATCCCGAGTCATTCGTGACGGCCCAGGGGCCCGGCAAGGGCCCTCGCCCCCGCAGGCCGAACATTGCCCAAGGCCTTCCGTCCAGATCTCTTGCGCAAGCCCGAAGATGCCGGGGCAAGGCAGCATCGCGCCCAGACATCGGCGGGCGTGTCCGCCAGGCCCCCGCCGGAAGCCGACACCCCTGCAAAATCTGGGACAGTGCCCATGCAGGCCTGGCCGTGGCGGACTATTTTGCCCGAAGCGGGGCATCTGCGCACGTTATTGTCGCGGCGCCGGGTCGGAGCCTGAGCGGGTCGCGAAGAGGCGAATGGCACACGGTGGAACGGCGAGGACAACTATCAGAAGAATTCTAGGTTTCTAGACGCCCCCGAATCAGGAGTGAGACCGATATCGACAAGAGAAAGAAACCTTTCACCACAGGGAACAGCTGTTTAGCAGAAGAGGGAACCGTCGCAAGTCCGCGCGGATTCTTCGATCGGCACCGGGCCCCCCTCCACGGCGCGCGGGACGCGCCAGGAGCGGCGCTCGAGGCGCCGCCAGGGGGGGTGGGCCCGGCACCGCTGCCAGAGATCCGCGCGGACCTCCACGGCTTCGTGTGCGCATGCCGCCTGTGCTCCGGTCTCTCCTCCGAGGCCAGGCGAGGCACTTTTACAACAGCCCCTGCCCCAAGTGCTGACGTTGTTTACCCCTGACTGGTTGTCTGGCAGTCCCCGAGAGGGGCCGGAAGACAGACCGCAGAGGCCAACTGGCCGAGCCGAGCTGATGTTGTGATCTCGAGTCCGTGGCCCCGAGGCGCCCGACTCCTCTTCTCGTTGATTTCTCATCGTGCTCATTTCTAATTCTGCTCGTATCTAATTTTTCCTGGCCCCCTAGTGGCCAGGAAGAGGCCCAGGATGGAACACTTAGAAATGAAAGGATCTTGGCCCTCAAAAAATCGAACACCTTTCGAAGAATCAGAAATGAACGACGTGCAGGTCGCCAGGACCCGACCGTTATTCTGCAGCTGCCCCGTGCGACCGAGCTGCCACGGGCACTCGGAGGCCGCGGGCACTTGGCTGATGATGACCCTTCGCTCGTCCTGGAACGGCACCATCCTGGAGAGCGGCGCCGAGCTCTCCTGCGGGCCAGGAGAGAGGCCTCTTCTCTCCCTCAATCTGCCCCTATGCTCGTGACCCTCCTCCTCCTCCTCCACCTCCTCCTCCTCCTTTTACGCCATGCCACATCGTCATCTTTCCCATCGAACTCCACCTCCTCCTCCCCCTCCTCCTCCTCCTCCTCCTCCTCCTCCTCCTCCTCCTCCTGCTCCTCATTCTCCTCCTGCTCCTCCCCTCCTCCTCCTCCTCCTCCTCCTCCTCCTCCTCTCCTCTCTCCTCATCATCATCATCATCATCATCATCATCATCATCATCATCATCATCATCATCATTAGCATCATCACCACCACCATCATCACCATCGTCATATCCATCTCCATCATTAGCATCACCATCCATAACCATCATCATCAGCATCATCATCAGTATCATCATCAGTATCATCATCAGTATCATCATCATCACCACCCCCATCATCATCAGCATCATCAGCATCACTATCATCATCACCATCATCATCGTCATCATCACCCTCGTCATCGTCATCGTCATCGCATTAATCATCACAATCATCATCAACATCACCATCCTCATCATCACCTTTATCATCATCCTCCTCCTCGTCATCATCATCATCATCATCAGCATCATCATCATCATCATCATCATCATCATCATCATCATCATCATCATCATCATCATCATCATTATGATAATCATCATCATCACCCTCATCATCATCATAATCGCCATGATTATCAGCACCACATTATCATCAGCATCATCAGCATCACCGTCATCATCACCAACATCATCATGGTCAGCATGATCACCACCATCATCATCAGCATCCTCATCATAATCAGCAGCATCACGATCAACATCATCGTCATCCTCCTACTTTTCCTCCGCATCCGACTCCTCATCCGCATCATCATCATCATCCTCACTACAGCCTCCACCACCACCGCCGCCATCATCCTAATCAGCAGCATCACCATCATAATCTTCTTCGATATCATCATCACCACCATCATCATCAGCATCATCAGCATCATCAGCATTAGCATCATCATCCCCATAATCAGCATCATGATCCTCAGCATCACCAGCATGATCATCAACATGAGCATCAACATGAGCATCAACACCATCACCATCACCAGCATCATCATAATCAGCATCATCATCAGCGTCAGCTTCGTCACCCTCATCATCATCAGCATTGTCATCAACAGCATCATCATCATTGTCATCATCAACATCATCATCATCATCTGACCAATCAACGTCCATCCCCACATCCTCATCATCCTCCGTGTACCCCGTATTCGCCCACATCCTCATGATCCTCCTCCCGCGCCTCTTCCTCTTCCCCGTCCTCCTCATCATCACCACAATCGTCATCGTCAGATGGGTAACCTGGGCAATCTGGTAATCCGCTGCGTGGAAGAGCGTACGGTCAGACACTGCCGCTTGGCCCACACACGGGCTCACGCACGGCCTTTGAACTGCTAGACCGGACCCTTACAGACAGACAGACCGCTTAGAAGGAAAAGCATGGACTTCCCGCACACATGGTGGAACCTGTTGAGCAGCCTGGGTGTCTCGGCTCCAGATGGTTTCAAGAGGGCCTCGGAGGAGCCGAAGAGAGGCCACACAGAGCCCCAAGGCGGCCTAGGAGGTCAGTCGCCAATACAGCCCAAGGGGGCTCCAAGACGGCCCAAGAGAGCTCGAAGATATCCCCAAGGCAGCCCACCCAGACTCCCCAGACGACCAACAGAGGCCCACGAGAGCGCGCAGACAGCCCAAGATGGATCAAGAAGGCCCCGAGAGGGCCCCACCAGTCCCAAGACAGCCCAGGTACGCACCATGAGAGACCCTGAAGGAACAGAGACGGGCCGTATCCCATGTTAGGATCTTCTCGGCGGTGCTCGAGCAGTCGCCTTCCAGAGCGCTCCGCTGGCACGATGGTCAACCTTACCGCAGGCAGCTGGGTGTCAGCGAGGATAGCGCAGACACGCCCAAATTCAAAAACCACCTCAATCTAAACACGGCGTCTTCAATATTTGCTTGCCCCTGGTCAGGGAGGCTGTCACTCCAGCTGGCCCAGATGATGCGTCCGCCAATCACTCCCAGGCTCGCGAGAACCAATTAGCAGACAAGATGCAGTACCCTAGCAATTGTACCTGCGGGCAGGCGAAGATATGCAGCGAATAAGATTTATCGCGAAGTACTGTGGGCAATCAACGTGCACGGAGAAGCGGACATTAACTGGAATCGGAGGAGGTCCAATTACACATCGGCGGCTTTCCCACGCGGCCCACATTCACTCAACATCAACTCTCGGACCCCTCCCGGGGTCCATCCTGACACGCTTTGAGGCTGTCATCCTTTAGATCCTGGCAAGTCTACGTGTATGGGAGACGGCCATATGGGGGGAGCGGGGGCGGGAGGCGCTTGGCGAGGCCCGAAAGGAAATCTGACCTTCACGCAACTCAGGACTCCCCCACGATTTCGAAGGGGGGGAAGTGAGGGGCTCACTTCGCTCGGGACCTCCCGAGCGAAGTGCCCCCCCCTCCCGCCCTTAGAGATCGTGGGGTGGTGGGGCAGGGTGCCATACCACAGAACTTCCTCGAACTACAGTCAAGCGCTCTCTTTTCGAGAGGCCTCCAGAAGAGGGCCCAAGAAGGGCGAAAGTAACGCCAGGGGGTGGCCCACTCCGACGTGAGAGCCCAGGGGGCCCGAAACCGAGCGCGAGCGCGTAGCGGGAAGTCCATATGAGCGACGATCAAAAACGCGGCCCTGCGCGAGATGACGCAGCGACCTTACGCGGCGGCTCACGCGGGCCGCCGGCGCGGCACGCTGCTTGGAGGACGAGAGCGCTTGCGCGCGCGACCTCACGCGGGCAACTGGCGCGTCGGTGTCGGCGCAGACGATCCCGCCTTCCCTGCGGCGCTCACACTGACTTTCTCGGGTCGGGGCCGGACCGGGGCAACCCACGCGTCAGTGCTGGCACAGACGACCCCGCTTTCCTGTGTCGGGGATGGACAGACCTCCCTTTAGTAAAACGTGGTTTAGTGAAAAAGACCTGAGGCCCAAACCTGGCGGGCGCAAGCCTGGAAAATAACGGCCGTGGCGCCCTCTCGAGAACCGAAAACGGACAATTCACTAATCGACGTGTCACTGTTGGGGGTTCTGTCCACCCCCGACTGTGGCGCTCAGGCCGACTTTTCCTCGGCTCGGGGCTGGACCTCCCCTTCGGCGGGGCGGATCCGCGCGCCCAGAGAGCGGGGCCCGCGGGGCCGATCCCGGGAGGTCCGCGCGGGCCTCCGAGGGGCTTTTGTCTATGCTGCGCCTGCCCCTCTCGTTGGTGGTGCTGTTGCTTGCTCGTAGCATGACTGGTACACCACGCGAAATGGTTAAGACATCATGGGTTAAGAAATTCATGGTCTCAGAACTCGAATAAAAACCCAAAAATTCTATCAACATCTTAGGATTTACATTGAAACATTAAGAATAATCGAGACTCTGGCCGAAAACTCAAGTTTTCTTAAGCATCGCCTAAGGTGTACATGCATCGTGTGCTCTCGCCGTGTGTGATGTGCGGTGTGCAGTCTGTGTGGAGCGATGCATGCTGCGGGATCTGGATGTTGCAATCTGGAGTGTGCAGGCCATGCTGTGCGATCTATGTGGCTCTGTGGCGCAATCTGTGCTGTGCCATCTATGCTGTGCAGTCTATGTCGTGCGCAATATATGCGGTACAATCGACGTGGTGAAATCTAACTAGAGCTATATAGGTTGCGCGCTCTATGTGATGCAATATGTGCGGTACAAAATGTGGTGCACTATATGCGGTGCAATAGGTACGGTGCACTGTATTTTGTGCAGCCTACGTAGTGCAACTTATGAGGTGCAGTATGTGTTGTGCAATATATGTGGTGCAATATATGTTGTCATTCACGTGGTGTGGTATATGCGGTGGAATCTACGTTTTGCAATTTAGGCGGCGACGGGGCGGCGACGGAGACAACATTGCCGCCAGACCGACAAGCAGGCCAAGACGACGGGCGGCGACGAGGTGGCGACGGGGTGGCGGCGTCGACGACATAGCCACCAGACCGAGATTCAGGCCCAGACGACGGGCGGCGACGAGGCGGCGAGGGGACGGCATGGCCGCCAGACCGACATGCACAACCCTAAGTGCAAGCACTGTTTTGGGAAGTATTCGTTTTTACTATATGGATCGCTCTTGCAAGAGATTGCGTTGAAACGTATTTCCGGTAACGCTCGCTACCTGGGGGGAGGAAGGGCCCCAGGTAACGGTGACGCTCGGGAGGAGTGGGGCACGTCGGGGCGGGGGTGCGCTGCGACCGCCACAGCTTGCGCGCGAGCGCCAGCATGTGTTAGGTCGGGCATGTCCTCCTAAAGGCGGATTTGGGACAAAGAACCATATATATATATATATATATATATATAGATACTCCGAATACTAAAAAAACGTCCCCTGACTATCCTTTCCAATTTTTTAATGTTCCTCCTGTAGGGGGACATGCCCGACGTAAAGCATGTGGGGGGGAGGGGTGCCCAGGCCCCCACCAGCGCACGAGGGCCACCGCTGCCCCGTCATGGGAGGGGCTGGCCCGGGTCACGACCGCCATATGCGCCAGAGGACAGCAGGCAACATCTAGAGCACCTGGCCTTTTTCGATCTCGGGGCCCTCGCGGCACTTCGGAAACCCGGAACCAAGCAAACCTGCCATTTCTTTCTTGAAGGGGCCCCAGGACACACAAATAAATACACCCAAATAAACAGATTCCCCATATTTTCCCATATTTTCTTGGTTTTTGTCGTCCCCCCACTTCCCATATTTTCCCATATTTTCTGGGGGATCGACGATTCATTGTGTCTGTGTGTGTTTTCCCCTCCTGATTTCTTGGGAGGCCGACTTTCGCTTTCGCCGGCCTCCGCCGGCTGCCGCCGGCGGAGACCAGCGGCCAGCCTTCCGCCGGCCTTGCGCCGCCTCCCGCCGAAGAAGAGATGGCAACTCCCTCGAGCCTCGAGGGCACGGCCCTGTCTGGAACGCCCCAAAATCGGGTCGGGCGAAAGGGGGGGATAGCAAAGGGGGGGGTTGAGAATCAGCTCGCGTAGCCGATTTTCCCTGCGCCTCCCGGCGCCGGAGGCGGCTGGTGTATCGAGGAATGGGCCCCTCGGTGAGGCCGAATCCAGCTGCACGCAGCAAATTTCGTAACCCCCCCTTTCCCGGGGGGATTCCCAATCCCCCCCTGTCGTCCGGCCCGACAAAAGTCGGCAGCCCGCGCGGCGCTCCTGGTCGTACAGCCGGAGCACGCTGGAGATCTCCTCGTCGGTGTACAGCCTCGTGGCGTGCCTGGGCGCTGGCGCGCCCTCCTCCCCCTCTCGGGGGGGGGGGCGAGGAGGACCCCGACCCCCGACGACACTGGGATTTACCCAAGAGTAGTCCAAAAATAGTCTGGGGACGTTGCTTTTACTTTTTCTGCTGAGTTGTTGCTTATTGACAGACTATTTTTCAGTTGTCCTGCAAAATCCGCCTGGATCCAGGAGGACATGCCCGACCTAACACTTGGAACACAAGACACACATATCTGAAGGGGAACTGGAACACACAAATAAATACACACACAAATAAACATATTCCCCATATTTTCATATATTTTCTGGGTTTTTGTCTTCCCCCCCACTTCCCATATTTTCCCATATTTTCCTGGGAATCGAAGATTAATTGTGTCTGTGTGTTTCTTCCCCTCCTGAACATCGCTGGTCCGTGCCGTGCCCACCCTGGCCCCTGGCTCCTGACACAGCGGGGATCGTTCAACCTTGAACGATCGACTGGTTCCGAAACGGCAAATAACCTGATGGGCTTGTTTTCCACCACCACCACCATAAGTTGGAAGGAGAGGAGGAGGAGGAAGAGGAGAAGGAGGAGGAGGACGAGGAGGACAAGGAGGAGGAGGAGGAGGAGGAGGACCCCCTCCCTCACCAACTTATGGTGGTGGTGGTGGAAAACAAGCCCATCATAACCAACATCGACCGAATCTGGGTCGCCGGCGGCGTTCAACGTTGAACGCCGGCATCAGGGTCGCCGCCGGTCAACACGACGCAAACCTACCGTGCTCAGACCCCCGACGTTATGATTGTGTCATGGCGTCGATCCCCCAAGGGTCTGAACCCATTGCCCACAACCGGTTTTTCATCCCGAGTCGTTTTGGTCCCGAGGTCCAGTAGGGGCCACCAAAAGCCAAAAATACTGAAAAACCTCCCATCGTGTTTGTTCATGACTCGAGGGTGTCTGGGTAGCCTCGCGAGCCTGTCGTAAACATAGTTTCTCGGGGGTCCGCGCGGACCCGAGAAATCCACGCGGAGCTCCGAGAAACCATGCTCATCAGGGGAGGCGCCACTTGTTTGTCGGTCGATCAGGGGAGGCGCCGGAGGAGCACCGAACACCACTTGCTTGTTGCTCAATCGAGGGAGGCGCCGGAGGCGCCGCCAGGGGGCCCAGCGCCTATACCCGGAGGGATGCGCGCGGAGATCCGAGAACCCGCGTGCTCATGCCGTTGCTTCTTGCTCGATCCGAGGAGGCGCCGGAGGCGCCGCCAGAGCGCCCAGCGCCTGTCCGAAGGGATCCGCGCGGAGCTCCAACAAAAATCAAGATCATGTCACTGCTTGGTGCTCGATCAGGGGGCGCGCCGGAAGCGCCGCCATCCGGGGGCCCAGCGCCTATCCGAAGAGATCCGTGCGGAGCTCAGAGAAACTGAGCTGATGCCGCTGTTTGGTGCTCGATCTGGGGACGCGCCGGAGGCGCCGCCAGGGGATCCAGCACCGATCCGAAGGGATCCGCGCGGAGCTCCGAGAACCTATGCTCATGCCGCTGCTTGTTGCTCGATCAGGGGCGGCGCCGGAGGCGCCGCTAAGGGTCCCAGCGCCGATCCGAAGCAATCCCGCGAATCTCCGAGGGACTATGTATATGCTGCTATTTATATGACGCCCGACATGGGCACGATGCACAAAAACAAAAGTTGTCCAAGATCGGCAGCGGCCTCTGTTGGGCAGGCAGCCTCCTGTCTCAAACGGACAACGCCTGCGGCGACGCCGACAGCGAATCCTGCTCAAAATGGAGAAGGACCGCTGCGTGTCTTTGTGCCCATTCTTTCCGTACCTTCGGTGGAGCTCCCTATGGTGCCACGAAGCGCTGTACTGGGTGGGAGGGACTCATGCGGGCGGTAGCACTGGGGCCGTCGGTGGAGCTCCCTGCGGGTCCACGAAGCGCTGTACTGGGTGCGGGGGGGGGGGGGCGCATGCGGGCGGTAGCACTTGGGGCTTTCGATGGAGCGCCCTATGCGGCCAAGAAGCGCTGTACTGGGTGGGGGGGGCGCATGCGGGCGGTAGCACTGGGGCCTTCGGTGGTATTCCCTGTGGGGCCGCGAGGCGCTGTACTGGATGCTGGGACAGCGCATACGGGCGGTAGCACTGGGGCCGTCGGTGGAGCTCCCTATGGGGCCTCGAAGCGCTGTACTGGGTGGCGGGGACGCATGCGGACGGTAGCACTGGAGCCTTCGGTGGAGCTCCCTATTGGGCCACGAAGCGCTGTACAGGGTGGGGGGGACACATGTGGGCGGTAGCACTGGGGGCCGTCGGTGGAGCTCCCTATGGGGCCGGACGCATGCGGGCGTAGCACTGGGACAGTCCGTGGAACTCCCCATGGGACCACGAAGCGCTGTACTGGGTGGGGGAAACGCATACGGACGGTCTTCGGTGGAACTGCCTATGGGGCCACGAATCGCTGTTCTGGGTGGGGGGGCGCATGCGGGCGGTAGCGCTGGGACCTTCGGTGGAGCTCCCTATGGGGCCACAAAAAAAATTGTACTGGGTGGGGGGGACGCATGCGGGCGGTAGCACTGGGACCGTCGGTGGAGCTCCTTCGGTGCAGCCCCCAACGGGGCCACGAGTCGCTGTACAGGGGGGGGGACGCATGCGGGCGGTAGTACCTGGGCCGTCGGTGGAGCTCCCTATGGAGCTACGAAGCGCTGTCTTGGTTGGGGGTACGCATGCGGGCGAGCTCCCAATGGGGCCACGAAAGGTGTTAGGGTTGAAGGGGGTGACAGGAGGAGTGAGGGGGAAGAGACGTGAGGGAGGGAGGGACGCGTGGCGCTCTCTTCAAGACGAGGACCCAACAACATAGGATGGTTGAGAACAAAAGGCCCTTAGAGGTTACCACGGTCGTCGTCGTCGGCGTTATCATCATCATCATCATCATCATCATCATCATCATCATCATCATCATCATCATCATCATCATCATCATCATCAGCAGCAGCAGCATCATCATCATCATCAGTAGCAGCAGCAGCAGCATCAGCAACAGCAGCAACATCAGTATCGTCATCATCAGCAGCATCATCATCGTCATCATCATCAGAAGCAGCAGCAGTGGTGACAGCAGCAACACCAGCGGCAATCGCATCATCATCATCGTAGCCATCAGCCATCAACCATCAACATCACGGCCATCAGTAACATCACCATCACCATCATCATCATCACCATCATCATCATAATCAGCATCGTGATCATCATAATCGTCATCAACATCAGCAGCATCATCATCGGCAGCATCATCATCACCACCATCACCATCACCATCACCACTACCACAACTATCAGCAGCATCGTCATCAGCATTATCAACATCATCATTAGCATCAGCATCCTCAGCATAATCCTCGCCACCATCGTCCTAGCAATCGATAGTTGTATATACTAGAACCTTCGCGCGCTTTTCGCGTGCGCTCAAGTTCTAGCAAGGGTCATGATCATCGTCATCATTGTCATCCTCATCCCCGTCATCTTTATACTCATCGTCATGGTCATGGTCACCTTCACCATCACCATCACATCAATCATCATTACCACCATTATCATCAGCATCGTGATCACCATCACCATCATCGTCATCGTACTTTTCAGCCTCATCATCCGCATCGTCAACATCTTGTTGGTCGTCGTCGGCGGCGTCGTCGGCATAGTCATCGTCATCATCATCATCAGCGTCATCGCCGTCATCATCCCCAGTCCACTGCAGTCCCCTTCCCCTCCTCTTCGTTCTCCCTCTTCCCATCATCTTATACTCATCCTTTTCCTAGTCGGCGTCTCCCTGAAAGGGATCCCTGTTCCTTCACCTCCTCCTCCTCTTCCTCCTCCTTCTCCTCCTCCCTGTCTTCCCCGCTCTTCGGTGTGTTCCTTGTGTTCATCGTCCTCCTGCTCCTCCAAGTCGATACCAACGCGTGGCTGCCAAAGCCAGGTATCACTAGGGTACGTTTTCAGACACCCCTCCTCTTCCCCCTCTTCGTCCTCCTGATCATCCTCCTCCTCCTCCTCCTACTCCTCCTCCTCCCCTTCCTCCTCCTCCTCCTCCTCCTCCACCTCCACCTCCCTCCTCCTCTACCTCCTCCTCTCCTCCTCCTTCCCTCCTCCTCCTCCTCCCTCCTTCTCCTCCTCCTCCACCTCTCCTCCTCCTCCTACGCCTTCCTCCTCCTCCTCCTCCTCCTCCTTCCTCCTCCTCCTCCTCCTCCTCCTCCTCCCCTCCTCCTCCTCCTCCTCCTCCTCCTACGCCTTCCTCCTCCTCCTCCTGCTCCTCCCCTCCCTCCTCCTCCTCCTTGTCCTCCTCCTCCTCCTCCTTGTCCTCCTCCTTGTCCTCCTCCTCCTCCTCCTCCTCCTCCTCCTCCTTGTCCTCCTCCTCCTCCTCTCTTAACGAACCCACAGTACACGGGTGCCTACTGGAACGCGTGCCGGGAGCCTTTTTGAAAGCATTGCGGCAGTCTTTGGAGCCTCTCCGGGCCTTCCTTTGGAGTCCGTTGGGGCCTTTGTTGGCCCGTCTGAGGGCCCATTTCGGCCGTTCCGGATCACTCTTGGCTCGTCGTGGGGAGCTCAACCTGTCTTGGGGCCCTCATGGAGCCCTCTCCGACCATGTAGGAATCCTCTGGTGGCCCCCTCGGGCTTCCTGGGGGCTCTCATGGGCCGTCTTGTAGCTCTTCTGTGCCGCTTGAATCTCTCTTCAGCCCATCTTGGAAACCTCCATAGGACATGCTCGATTGTTGGCTTTGGAGGGCCTTCTCAGCGGCCTCTTGGACAGTCGTGGGGGGGTCCTTTTGGGCCTTCTGTGGCCCATCTGGAAGTCCATTTCGGCTGTCCCAGGCCCCTCTTGGCATGTCATGGGTAGCTGAGCTGTCTTGGGGCCCTCATGGAGCCCTCTCCGACCATGTAGGGATCCTCCGGTGGCTCCCTCGGGTCCCCTGGGGACTCTCTCGGGCTCTTTGGGAGCTCTCTTGTGCTGCTCGAAGCTCTCTTGAGGCTGTCCTGGAGCCCTCTTGGGGGCCTTGACCGCGTGGCGCCGATTTGGGGAGCCTTTGGGGCCGACGTGGCCGCCGATGGAACATACGAAGCGGAAATCATAGAAGTGTGTGTGTGTGTGCCTTTCTAGGGGAAGTGCTCGTCATTTGCACCTGGGAGCCTTTTCAGCGGCCTCCTGCACCGTCTTCAGGGAGTCCTGGTAGGCCTTTTTGGGACCCTCTGGGAGCCCAGTTCGGCCGCTCCGGGACCGGTCCCTCTTCGCCCGCCATGGGGACCACAGTGCGCTCGTCAGCCACCTTCCAGACAATCTGAGGCGCTTTGCGCGCCTCGTGGGCAAACTTGGGAGCCTCTGGGGGGGTCCGGGGCCCCTTCTGAACCCTCTTGGAGCCCTCAAGGCCCCCCCGGCCACCCATGCGAACCAGAGGTCGCAATTCGGGGCCCTCCCCCGGCCTACGGTCATCCTATTCGAGATCATCAGCATAATCATCATCATAATCACCGTCATCGGTCTCATCATCATCGTCGTCATCATCATCAGCATCATCATCATTAGCATCATCATCCTACTCATCATCACAATCATCATCAACAACATCCTCGTGGTCGTCATCATGCCTCGCTGCAGCTTTCTCATCGCCCTCGTCCTCACACTCACCAGAAATTATCCCAGTGCGACTACACCTGCATCTACATCTACATCAACATCAACAGCGAGACTCACATCTACATCTACATCTACATCTACACCTACATCTACACCTACATCTACATCTGCATCTACACTGAACGCCTCTGGGTCCCGACTCGCATGCTATGCTATGCTGTGCTATGCTGTGCTATGCTGCGCTATGCTATGCTGTGCTATGCTATGCTATGCTATGATGCGCTATGCTATGCTATGCTACACTGTGATATAATCTGCTATACTGCGCTATGATTTGCTATGCTATGCTGTGCTATGCTATGATATGTTATGATATGCTATGCTATGCCGCGCTATACTATGTTATGCCATGCTAGTATGTGCTATGCTATGCTATGCTGCGCTGTGCTATGCTAAGCAATGCTATGTTATGGTATGCTATGCTATGCTGCACTATGCTATGCTATGCTATGATATGCTATGCTATGGTATGCTGAGCTATGCTATGTTGAGCTATGGTATGCTATGATTGGCTACGCTATGCTTGGCTATGCTGTGCTAATGCTGCGCAGCGCTGCGCTATGCTGCGCTGCGCTAAGCTAAGCTAAGGTAAGGTGAGCTATGCGAAGCTAAGCTAAGCTAAGCTAGGCTAAGCTAAGCTAAGCTATGCCAAGCTAAGCTAAGCTAAGCTAAGATAAGCTATGATGATATGAGCTAAGCTAAGCGAAGCGAAGCTAAGCTAAGCTAAGCTCGGCTAGGCAAAGCTAAGCTAAGCTAAGATGAGATAAGCTACGCTAAGCTAAGCTAAGCTTAGCTAAGCTAAGCTGGGTGAACCCAGGGGGCGCAACTGGGGGAACCGCGGGGCGGATGCCGGGAGAACCGCCCGGGGCGTTTTACACTGCCCGGCCCTTTAAGAGAACACAGTAAGAACCCTTCTAGGCAGAGCCTAGGTAGGGAACAAAAGCAGCATACACATCCTCATCCTCATCCTTATTCATACCCACCGCATCATTATCAACATTAGCAACATCATCGCCCTGGACCCCCCCCATCACTCCACTCTTCCTCCTCCTCCTCCTCCCTGGACCACATCCTCCTTCTCCATCCCCCTCTCATCCTTAGATTTTCTTGAATCCCTCCAGCTTGCATCCATCCGCCCTCCGCCTCCTCCTCCTCCTCCTCCTCCTCCTCCTCCTCCTCCTCCCTCCCCTCCTCCTGCTCATCCTCCATTCCTCCCTCTCTCCCTCACGCTCTCCCTCCCTCCCTCCCTTCTCCCTCATCACCCTCTCCCACTCCTCCTGGTTCTCCCTCTCCCTTTCCTTTCTCCCTGTCCTCACCCTCCTCCGCACCATCCTCTTCCGCCACTACTCCTCACACCACTTCCACAGTTATCAGCCGCATCATCATTATCATCAGCATTATCATCAGCATCAGCATCAGCATCAGCATCAGCATCAGCATCAGCATCAGCATCAGCATCATCATCATCATCATCATCATCATCATCATCATCATCATCATCATCATCATCATCATCATCATCATCGTTATCAGCATCATCATCAGCATCATCATCATAATAATCATCTTCATCTTCATCATCAGCATTATCATTATCAGTATCAGCAACGCCACCACCAGCGCCAACATCAGCATTCGCAGCAACATCAGCATCGTCATGAACAGCATCATAATCAGCATCAACCGCCTCATCGTCAGCATCACCAGCATCATCATACTCATTAGCATCATCAGCATCAGCATCAGCATCCTCATCCTCAACATGATCCCTGTCAGAAGCCCCATCACGCACTGCTGCCATACACCCCTGGATTCCCCCTCCACTCCTCCTCCTCCTCCTCCTCCTCCTCTTCCTCCTCCTCCTCCTCCTCGTCTGCCTCATCCTGGCTCCTCCTCCTCCTCCGCCACCTCCTCCTTCTCCTCCATCTCGTCCTCCTCATCCTGGCCTGTCCTCCTCCCCCCCCCCCAAGCCCCTGGATATTCCTGCATCTCTCCTTCTCCATCCCTCTTCCCTCCTCCGCCTTCGCGTTCGCCTTCACCTCCATCACCTCCTCCTCCTCCTCCTCCTCCTCCTCCTACCCCTCCGAACATCGTCCTGATCCTCATCATCTTTATCGTCCTCAGCATCCTTATCCTCATCAGCATCATCAGCATCATCATCATCAATAGCAGCAACAGCATCCCCATCATCATCATCATCATCATCATCATCATCATCATCATCAGCAGCAGCAGCAGCAGCAGCATCCTCATCATCAGCATCATCGTTCTCGTTATTACCATCATCATCAGCAGCATCATCATCGTCATCATCATCACCACCGTCAGCATCGCCATCATCATCAGGATCATCATCATATCTCCCCCTCCTCCTCCAACTCCTCCTCCATCTCCTCATCCTCCTCCTCCATCTCCTCCTCCTCCTCCTCCTCCTGTGACCTCCCTCCCTCCCAGCCTCTCTCCTCCATTCTAATCATCTCCCCCTCCTACTCCTCCTCTCTCTCTCTCTCTCTCCCTCTCTCCCTTTCCCAAGCATCCTCAATCGTTTCTCCTGCTACTCCTCCTCCTCCTCACGAGCCTCCTTCCCCCTCTCCCCCTCACACCACTACCACCACTAGCATCAGCAGCATCATCATCACAATCGGCATCATCATCAGCAACATAACCATCATCACTCATCATCATCATCATCATCATCATCATCATCATCAGCATCATCACCAGCCTCCGTATCACTAACCTCATCATCGTCATCATGACCACTATCATCATAATCAATCACCAACCACCAACCGTCGTCACAATCATCACACGCATCATCAGCATCACCATCGTCGTCGCAACAATCGTCGCCATCGTTATCGTCACTGGCATCGTCATCGTGATCATCAACACCACCACCATCATCATCATGATCACCATCATCCCTGGCCAACGAATCACTATCACCGTCATCGGTGCCATAATCTTATTCATCGCCATCAGCATCAACCGCATTTGGGGGAACCAAGAGATACCGATACCGCCACTCCCCAGCACTCTCCTGGGCTGCGCTCTGGCCAAGATTTCGAGGCGAATCCAGCGGTGGCAACGAGGGCCTCCTAGGAAGCCAAAGGCGGGGAAAACGAGGGAAAGGTAGCGGTATGGGTACGTGTTCCTATTCTATGTATTGTGTTCCACATGATCATCCTCATGCTCATCCGCATCATCATCATCACGATCATCATCATCATCGTCATCATCAGCATCATCATCAGCATCATCATCAGCAGCATCGTCATCATCATCATCATAATCATCATCATCATCATCATCATCATCATAACCATCAACATCATCATGAGCAACATCATCAGCAGCATCATCACCACCAACCATCACCATCGTCACCATCACCTCCAATCATCACCACCATCATCATGATCAGTATCATCACCCTCATCATCATCATCATCATCAAGCTCACCATCACCCTCATCATCATCACCATCACTATCATCGTCATCATCAAGAGCAGCACCATCATCCGCCCCTCCCTCCGCCCCAGCCACGCCGCGCGCGGTTCGGCCGCGAGGCCGCGCCTGGCGAGGGTGTCGTCTCGCAGCAGGTTGGTGAAGGAGCTCTGCTTTGACGCTCTGTCCGACAGCAGGTGGTAAGCGACCTACCGCCGCGGGGGCAGCCCCACCCCGTCCGAGGACGCTGGGACGAGTCCTCCTCGTCTCCCTCCGGATCATCCTCATCCACTTCATCCACCTCATGCTCCTCTTCCTCATCATCACCACCATCAGTATCATGACTAGGTTCATCAGCATCACCACCAATACCATCGTAACAACGACCGCCACCACTGCAACCATCATCATCATAATCATCACTGATAACGTGCTTATCAACACTATCGTCATCAACAAAAGCATCACCATTACCACCGTCATTGTCCTTACCATCGTCACACCATCATCAATATAATCAGTGTCATCATCATCGTAAGTATCACCACCACCGTCATCTCCACCATCGCCATCATCATCAACAACAGCATCATCACCACCATCACCAGAATCATCGTCATAATCATCATTCGCATCTTCGCCATCACAGCCACCAACACTGGCATCATCATTCACATCATCATCATCATCATCATCATCATCATCATCATCATCATCATCATCATCATCATCATAATCATCATCATCATCATCATCATCATCCTCGCAATCATCATCATGATGATCATCACCACCCCACGGCATCATCAGCATCAACAACTACCTCACCGTCATCATCTTCATCATCCTCATCATCATCATCACCACCAGCATCGTCATCATCGTCATCGTCGCCGTCAACATCATCCACAACATGATCCTACTCCGCATCTGCATCCGTATCTTCATCAATGTCATCACGATCACGACCACCACAATCATCATTACCACCACCGCAATCATCATCAGCAGCAGCATCATCAGCAGCAGCACAATCTTCATCGCCCTCCATCCCTCCCTTCCTCCCTCCCTCGCTCGCTCACTCACTCACTCACGCCGCCTCCATCCTCCCTCCTTCCTCCTCAGACGATCTCCAGCGTCGTGAGGTAATCTGCGCGTGCGGGGTTCACTCGCGATCTCGGATTCTGAGTGCTGCCTTCGGGTCTCAGGACGTGCGAACACCACCCCGCAGCTCGGGCAAGCATCGTGAGAATCGCATCATGGCCCAATAACCTGCGGGATGGAGGCCAAACACCTGTATTGTGCAAGCTTTTTGTCACCTCCTCCATCCTGACGGTCTCCACCCCCCCTCATTCTGGAAAGTGTCGTAGGCTATTCAAGTATCTGGAGGACCATGTTTCGCCCCCATCCCCCACCCCCCTCCTCTCAACCCCATCTCTCTATAAATAGCTCCCCGTCCCCACACCACTAGATGTGCCGGTAAAGCGTGCTGAGCGTTTCGGCTGACGACTAGGAGGCGAGATCGGAGGAGGTAGGAGGAAGGCAGCAGCGAAGAGGGGAGGAGAAACGAGAGAGAAGGCTGACGACTAGGAGGCGAGATAGGAGGAGGTGGGAGGAAGACGGCAGTGAGGAGGGGAGGAGGGACGAGAGAGGACGAGAATGCAGAAGAGAAGAAGTGCTCTAGTCAAAACGAAGTTTCAACACAGGAGGGTTGGGAAATGAAGCTGCGGCCTCAGCGCAGCGCACACTCGTCTTCAAAGTACGAAATAACGGACCACGGATGAATGGCGAGTCCTTTGCAACACATCGCTCTCGCCGAAGCGCAGACCACATTCGTCCTAACTGTGGCACTCACCTGGATGGAGGCAGCTTACTCCCGAAATGAGGGTCTCGCTCAAGTCGATCATGCGTTATCACAGCATTTGCAGCAACTCCGCAGGTGGTGGGAGAAAAATGCATATGATTGCGCGGTCGCGTCAATGTTCTGTCGATGCTACGGAACACTTGCGCAGATGAAGGGCGCCTCATGTTCAAAACTCGACTCCCGCGCCAGGCCCGCTCAGCTGCGGTCCTCCGAAACTTAGAGACCTGCGATATGTACACGGACAGACAGCAGTTCCCTTGTCGAGGCGGGGCCCTCGCATGACACTTGCTTGCGGATAGTCATCCTCAGAGGCCTCCTAGATGGGGTCCGAGTAGATGGGGTCGAAGGATCGCGCCGCATCGGCGATGCATCGGCTAGGTCGGCGATGCATCGGCAACGTCGGCGCGGGGAAGCACGGGCTCCACATCGAGCCGCATCGTCAATGCAGCGGCGGTGCGGCACAATGCTCCGACCCCACCGAGCCGGACCCCATCTAGGAGGCCTACAGCCCTTCTGTTACACTCCTCCTCCTCCGCCTCCTCCTCCTCCTCCCCCTCCTCCTCTCCTCCCCCTCCTCCTCCTCCCCCTCCTCCCCCCCCTCCTCCTCCTCCTCCTCCTCCTCCTCCTCCTCCTCCTCCTCCTCCTCCTCCTCCTCCTCCGCCCATCTAGGAGAATGCTGAGAGGGGAACGGAAAGGGGGGTCTCTCCGGCCAAGGCGAGCCTCTGCCACGACAGGGCTCGGGCCTCTGGAGGACCCGAGCGCCTCGTGAGCCCAGAGCTGTCCTTACTCGGGCGTGCGGGCAGTAGCAGGTGGGGGGGAACAGGAGATAGAAGGAGAAAAAGGAGGACGACAACAACGAGAAGGGACGAGGGGAGGGCCCTCTTTCTCCTGCTGCACCCCCTCCCACCCTCACTCCCTCTTCGTCCTCCTCCCTCCTCCTCCTCCTCCTCCTCCTCCTCCTCCTCCTCCTCCTCCTCCTCCTCCCCTCCTCCTTCCTCCTTCCTCCTCCTCCTCCTCCTCCTCCTCCTCCTCCTCCTCCTCCTCCTCCTCCTCCCTCCTCCTCTCCTCCTCCTCCTCCTCCTCCTCCTCCTCCTCCTCCTCCTCCTCCTCCTCCTCCTCCACCTCCTCCTCCTCCTCCTCCTCCTCCTCCTCTCTCCTCCTCCTCCTCCTCCTCCTCCTCCTCCTCCTCCTCCCTCCTCCTCCTCCTCCTCCGCCTCCTCCTCCTCCTCCTCCTCCTCCTCCTCCTCCTCCTCCTCCTCCGCCTCCTCCTCCTCCTCCTCCTCCTCCTCCTCCTCCTCCTCCTCCTCCTCCTCCTCCTCCTCCTCCGCCTCTCCTCCTCCTCCTCCTCCTCCTCCTCCTCCTCCTCCTCCTCCTCCTCCTCCTCCTCCTCCTCAAGCAACTTGGGCCCAGAACTCCATTTTGGCAGCCCTGGGTCCAGCACTGCACCTCACCGTGGTGCTTGAGTGGCCCGCACCCGCAGCCCGATTGCGGCCGGCGCGTGCGGTGGCTAAGCAGTGCGAATAGCAATGGCGAGTCATACCACAAGGTTGTACACACGTTGCAGATCCTGTGGCAAAAACGAGTGGAATGATATCTTGGAGCGTTCTGATAAGAAATGCAGCAGATGTTTCAAGACGGTCAGACTCTACAATCCCCGCTCGAAGTCGCCGAAGCGTGTGTCCTTTGATGATGACAAGGACAATTACCTAGCGACCGATCGCCATGGGAAGTTGAAGTCTGCATTGAAGTCTCCGACGAAAGGTCCCTCGAGTGCTGAGTCCTTGCTGGCCGAGGCGATCAAGGTGACCACAGACCCTGCCATCAAGTCGTCTCTCCAGGCGGAGCTGAACAAACTGGAGAGTCAGAGGCAGGATGACGCCAACGCACAGATCTCAGCAGCTGAGGAGGTGCGCAAGGCCGACGCGGCCTGGCGCGATGCGGACATGAAGCACAGCCAGGCCGTCAACTCCGTCATGCGGATCCGCAAGCAGCTCGAGCTAGCGGACGAGAAGGAGAAGGCAGCCGCAGTCACACTGGCCACTGCTACGGCGGCCAAACAGGCAGCGGCAAAGAGGTTGGCGCAGTCCGAGGGCGTCGTGGAAGGCAATTCCCAGTCGAAGTCCGACGCCGACGGGCACATCTTCAACCTCTCGTGGGATGAGTCGATTTTCCACGATGCAGCCGATGAGTTTGAGGAGAGTGAGCGTGCCATCATGGAGCAGCTCGAGAAGGAGCTCAAAGCCGCCAAGGAGAACTTGGGGGCTCGAGAGAAGGAGATTCAAGGGTGGCTCGACAGAGCCAAGGAGGTGCGCAAGCAGGTGCAGGAGCGCATGGGCAAGAAGCGCAAGGTCGACGGCGTCACCGCGGAGCAGGCGAAGTCCGACGGCCAGGCCGCCGATGGCGGCAACTCGGCAGAGGGCTCATCTCCTACAGCCGAGACAGCGTCGTCTGCGGGTTCGGGCGACAGTCGCTCCTCCGCCACGGCGGCCGAGGTCTCGCCGACAGCGGAGGAGGCGGCGGCAGCCGAGGCTCGTGCAGCGGCTGTACAGGCGGAGGCGGAGAAGATCTCGCAGGCCAAGTTTGCGGCGGCAGCTGCTGCCGCTGCGGCGAGGGCTGCGGCCAACGCCAGCGGCAAGGGTCAGTCCACCGACGCCGCCAAGTCGAGCGGCAAGGGCTTCGCGGCCAAGTGACACAGATCGCCGCCTCGCTCGACTCCTGCAGGACGGTCGAGTGGGGCTACGGCGAGCAGTTCCAGTTCTTGCACGATTCCTAGTTCGTGTCCCTCGACGGGTGGGTCATCACTGGGCAGCTCCAGTGCAGGTCCGCGAGGCAACACGAGTACGCAGTCTTCCCCTTCCTCTCCCTCTTTGCCAGCTTCGCCATCATTGGGTGAATCGCCAGTGGACTCGGATCCTACTACTGATTCGGATGGGGAAGCTGTGACCTCTTTACTTTTTGGGAATGTCACGTGCATGAGTGACAAGATATGGAAGTATCTAATCAGTCAGAAGGAAGCGCATTCACTATTTGCAGTTGCCGAGACACACGTATCTCGGAAGGGTCTTCGTAGATGGGACAAGCTTGCACGAGGTGAGGGACTTCGATTGCACGCCAACCCTGCTCGCGAGGACCACCAGTTTCGCACAGTGGCTGCCAGTCAGGAAGCTCGAGCCAATGAAGGGGGAGAGTGGATCGTCAGTCGAGGCCATTTGCAGGTGCGCAGTTTTGAGACTATGTGCAGCACACAAGTCATTCGAGCAGGTGAAGGACGAGTTCTGGACGGGATGATGCCCGTCGTTGTCCACATGGCGGGGTACACTTTCGTCTTAGTCTGTTTCTATGGCA